TCTTGAGAGACCTTGGGCAAGTCTCTTAATCTCTGTGTGATAATAATGCTCCCTTTTTTCAGGGAACATTGAATTAATCAATGCCTGTAAGGCACCCAGGTGCTACTGCAATGAGGGCCATCTGTAAGTACCTAGCTAGAGCATCTTCATTACATTTCTCTGTAGCTCTAAGAATAAGGGATCCATAGGTGAATCTAATGAGTTAATAGAGGGCTCTCTCAAGCAGATCATAATACAGGAGACACTCCTTATAGTGGAGTGAAATTGCATCAGCGCTGTTAAAGCGAATTTCATACCACCAATGGTGGGGTTCATTGTTCTGATTCCTCTAGGAATATTTTGTTCTAAGTACACTTTACCATCCCCATCTCTGTTCTGACCAAAAAGTTGCCGCCCCTGCTGGGTAGCTAAGTGAGAGGCAAGGGAATCCTTACCTTCTGCTTTGGTGGCAACTACTGTTGCTGAAAGTGGAGCTCTGGGTTTTGAGATGCATGCAGGTTGCTCCTAGTGCCCCCTGTGGCAGAGAGAAGGAAATGAGGTAGAAAAAAGACCAGCCACCCTAGGTGAAAAGGGGCTTTGGACTCTCCTCCAGTTACAGCAAAATGCAGCTGATATGAGATTTCCAAAACACTCCCCTCCATTCACTTGATATTAGCCCTACTGAGAGAGGGAGTGGCTAATTGCTGGGTTCTAGTTCCATCTTTGCTAGTGATTTGCCCCCTTCACCTTATACATGTCACTTAGCCTCAAAGTGCCTCATTATCCCTATTTTACAGATGGAGGAAATTAACACATCACTACTCTCAGGCGTGTTGTGAATTTTTTAATACATTAAAATTGGTAAAGCATGGAGAGATTTTTGGAAGAAAGGCACTGTGGAAATACAGAGGTTGCATATCATGCCCTAGCCTTCAGGCAAGAGCAGAGAATGACAAAGCTTGGGCTGTGAAGCACTCAAAAAAATCATGAGATTAAAAAAGTTAATGCAACTAATTGGTTTTAATTGCACAGTTAAAAATATTAGATACCATCAATTTATATTTTGGGAGGTTTCCTATATTTTCAAATACAGGGTCAGGGCTGGGGGCTTCAGCCCCTCAGGGCATGATTCCAAGCTTCAGCCCCCCTCAAATCTCAAGGACTTTGCCACCCAGGAACTTGCAACCTAGGGCTCCTTTAGCCCCTCCACCATCTCAGGAGCTGCATTTGTTTCAGCCCACCTGCCATCCGCTGAACTGAGGCATCAGCACTCCACTGCCACCTCCCACCCTGCCCACAGGCACACAATTAACACATTCAAATATTAATGTGTTAATTTTTCTTTCAGTTAACTGCAGGCATTAACAGGTCTAGAAAAACATATGACCACCCATGAAGAAAGGTTGATTCAAATAGATTTATTTCATAATTCAGTGCACTGTGTGTTTGAAGGTGCAAAATCAAACACAGACTTGGACATCTAATATGGCGATGACATCAGTACTGGCACATCTTATGATTTTATTTCAAGTCTCACAGTATCTGGTGTTTTTCCCTTAGATGGCTCCTGAGACTGAAGCATTAACTACATGAGGTTCTCAGTTTACCTTAAAAATAAGTAAATTTCTAGGATTCATAGCTGAAGACAAAAAACTTGACAGTGTGCCGAATGAGAAGATAGGTTCAAAATTTGTTTTAAATCTTGAGTTTGGGGGCACACTGCAACAGCAGTATCATTTTATGTTTTTAATTAAACAACCTTTTCCTAAATGAGAAGTGTTGACAGTTACTAATTATCTGGTCATCCATCCCATAGAGGCAGAAAAACAGAGACAGAAAGAAAGGGAAACGTGGATAGAGGCAGAACGACACCGGCTAGCAGAAGTGGCAGAAGAAGAACATCTTGAGTATGAGAGAAAGAAACTAGAGGAAGAGGAACGGGCAAGGCATGATGCAGAGGAAAGGAGAAAGAACACAGAAGAGACAGCTAGATTAGCTTTGGAAGAAGCAAAGACACAAGCACTCCTTCTAGCCAGGTAAACAGCCTTATTCAGCAAAGGAAATTATTCGTGATGAATAGTTACACGTCAGTAGTTAACAGCAGTCACTTGGGTCCAACCTAAACAAAAACACTAGTAGAGCTAGAACTATTTAAGAGAAAATTTAACCTTCAGTGGTTCACACTACTGGAATTCCAGTAACAAGGCTCAATATTTAACATTTGTCCTCTCTACTCCGTAACTCCAAATTACAACATAGTTGTTTGTTGTATAGATAAGACTCAACCTTGTTTTCACGACATCCCCAAAGTGCACTAGAACCAGAATCCAAGGCTCTAGAAGAGCTCAGAGAACATAGCTACTAGCTCCATTGATACTACAAAATAATGCAGAGAGCCCAGGTTCCCTACTGCAGCTGTAATTGGAGTGTGGCTAAAGTAAAAAAAGTTACACCAGCAATGAATTTAAGTTGCAGCATATGTAATTAAGCAGAAAAATATTGACCTAGCCCACTTCTAAAGATGCAAGCAACACTAGCTGCCTTCTTTTTGTTTACCTTTATTTAATTAGTACCGTTTGTTTTCAGGCAAAGAGAAGCTCTGGA